CAATTTGTGACCGATGAACGATTTGTGACCTATAAAATTTTTGAATTGTGACCAAATTTAATAGATATGTGACATTTATATATTTATTAATTAAACATATAATTAATTAATTAAATCATAAATAAATTTTAATGAAAACCTGATTTTTGAAATTTAAAACTTCTATCCTTAATTTTGAAATAGTGTTTACTAAAAACCTGATTTATGTATTGTTCTCACAAAATAAAGTGTTTTTCTAGTGTCAGTCAATGCCTTCATGGGTGCAACGTCGAAGCATTTCATCCAAGAAAATTATGGCATATAAGGTCATCATCGACACAAGAATACAAATTCTTTTGTTTCCCACATATTGACAATATTTTTTCTTCTAAGAGAGCATTATCGTTGCCCATCCTTTAAATTTTATGACAAAGTTAATGTATCTTAATATAAGAAAAAGTTTTCAAAAACAATAAAGAAGACGGAGCTGAATGATTTATTAATGGGAAAAACCATATGTGCAGAATTTTTTTTTGCAGATGTTTTACACCTACTCACATGTGTGGGACCCACCGAAATAAAAAAATGAAAAAAAACCCGCCCCTGCATTGTGTGTATCTGGTGGTGTTTTGTAAACCATGCTTCTGCATGGTTCTTTATTAATATTACTAGAAAAGATTTATTGATAGAGATTTTTGAGACACGACTCTAAAACTTGGTTTTAATAATTGTTTGTCCTTGCTACCTAACAGAGATGTCTTTCATCTAGATTAACATGTTCAAGAATGGTTTGAAGTGAATATTTTGATATTCAAGCATTGTTATAGGACACATTCAATTTGCATAAATATCTCTTCTAGATTTTATTCCAACATCATGTCGTGTATGGGTTTTATCAAACAAATATGAATGTAATTTAACATTTAATATTATTAGTTATCGTTTAAATTTATATGTCAACTTATTTTTAATATATTACTATAATATCAATAGGTAAACCATTGATTAAAACCAAACCAAACTGCAAATAATGATTTGGTTTGATTTGGAAAAATTTCAAATCTTATGAAATGGTTTGAGTTGAAAAAATAACACAAACCGTCCAAATCAAATCACGTTCATCCCTAAATAGGATAAGACCAAGATTAAATAATCATCCCCATCTCTTCAGAGTTTTTCAATGTTTATTTCTTAGTTATTTTTTCCAAAAATGGCAAGAAATAAAAAAATGTTATAAAAGAGTATACGTAGAGAGTCAAACTCGACACAATTTAATTCTCTCCTTCGCTTGCCTTGCATCATCGACAATTAGGACGAAATAGTCTTTTAAAAATATCGTATCATATCATATCATGCTCATTTTTATTTTACATTTATTAACAAAATTGTTTCGTGAAAAGAAACTATTACATGTCTTCTTTGCTTAATAATCTTGTCTAATTTTATTTGGTTTAAAGTTAGGGTAAATTATATTCACACCACAATTTTTATTTTTTGCACCACATTTAATTGCACTTAAGGTTCTTAATCTTTGCTCATTATAATACTTATGTCCCTAACGATTTTTCATGTCACTCTTATTCTCAAACTTTTCATTAATTAACACATTTTGTATTTGATAACAATTTTATGTCCAAAAGTTTATAAAAATTGTGTAAAACAACTTATTTTTTTCCATCATGTATTAAAAAATTAAATAAATAAAAAGTGCAAAAAAAATAATTTTTTCTTCAGTTCAAAGTATGAAAATAAAATATTTTGATATAAATCATCATCATGACAAGATATAATAATTAATGGAAGGTTGAAGATAAGAATTAGATAAAAAAAAGTTACCGAAACAATTGCTACAATAAGTAAAGACTGAAGAATTTAATTGCAACTAAATGTGGTGTATCAAATAAAATTTGTGGTGACAATATAACCACCTTAAAGTTATGTATAACAATGTTTGATATATGATATCAAGCAACACTATACCGTACAATCAACAAAAAAAATTAACAACTTACAACAGCTGACTAACATTGTAACTTTCTATGTTTCTTTTCATTCTTTCCACTTCAGAGTAAGTTAAAATTTGAAAACGACTAGACAAAACAAACGTAGCATACCTAACACCCATCTTCTATAAAGCATAAAAATATATTGACCAATTCAAGAATCGACCCCTTTAAAGACCCCACAATCTAAAAGGAGAAAAGAAAAGGAAAAAAAAATGTCTCATCACTTGAACTTTGGGTGCATTTCATGAACATTTCTTTTAAATTTTGCTTTTTGAATGATTAATTATGGGTGCATCCCATTGTGGGGTTTGTTACAAGAAGTGCACATGGATTTTTTGAAAAAGTAGCGAGCAAAATAAGTAATATTTGAGCACTATACTAATGAAAAATTAATCATACATAATTATGTAATTACACGTGGTATTATGTGATTGGATATCACAAAAGCTATAATTCAACTTTTGCTTTTACAAACTTGGAAACTAAGTTTTAAATGCAAGTCTAAAACTAATTAATCCATGTTTACTTTATACGGTTTTTATGAACTCAATGATTTTTTTGATAGTATGCAATCAAATGATATATTGCTACTTTAACATATGTTTTGAAGTGGTTACACAATCGAGTTTCTTTGCCTTTTGTGGCTTGAAATTTCTCCTCAATTATTGTGACTCCTACTTTACTTATTGAAATTTTTCTAAGCATGACTAAACAAGCATTATTAGAACTATACCTAAAGAAAATTTGTTTTATTTGAGAATTATATTGTTGCACGAATTAATATGTGCATTTTTTTAGGAGAGAGAGAACCAAATACATGACTTCAAAGATATATAGTACTTGTCTTATTATGTTAAAATCTTGCACTAGCAAGAAGAGGTAACTCTCGCATTGAGAGTGAACTACTCTATATTTGATATATTTTACTTGTTTTCAATTTTTCGATTTGAATTTATTGTTTTACAATAGTTTTTAGAAGATGATCATTAAGAGTAAATTACACTATCGGTCCGATATAAAAATACTAATATACCATATTGCGCAGAGTCAAGTAAATAGTGTCTTGAATTCTTATGTCTATAATAATGCAAGTGTTTCTAAGTCGGGCTGCTCGCATTCAGCTTCATCTTTCACTCCAGAGCATCCGGATATGCCTAGTAAGGTCCTTGCATGTTTGGTAAAGAAGATTGAAAATGATGATACAATCATGGGCGGACCCAAGGGGTGTCCTGGGCCTTAATATAGTTTTAAAAGCCATAACTCTCAAATGAGTCATCATATTCCAATATTGATATTCTTAAGCAAACCACCATTTTGCAAGATAAATTTTCCACGGGTTACAATTCATTTGGGAAATATTTATAAACGGTTGATCATATATAGATAGAAATGATTGGTACATTAGTCAAGTCAGTGTTCGATGAATCTCAAGAAATGTGTAAATAAAAAATAATTTGAATGTTTATAAACACTCAATAAATATTAAACAAAAATAAGACTAGAGATAAAAAATAATAATAATAATAATAATAAATAAAAATAAAAAATATATATATATAACGATTTGAACTACTTTCTTAATAAAATTGATCTTTTAAATCTGAAAACTCGATTGCAATCGAAGATTCATAAACAAACAAAGATACGTTTGTGTTTGGACTAGAGTACAACAAATGTGAGCAGTAGCCGTTAGGTTTAGGGTTCCATCGACCATATTCCACATGCCATGTGTTTCTGGAATAAACACACCAATTAAAACAAAATACGTAAAAGAATAGCAATCATTAAGAGCATGTTTGGATAAGCTTAAAAAAATTACTTAAAATAAATTTACTTATTTAGCGAAGAATAAAGATTCATTCTATTTACAAAGTATCATGTACTTTTTCTGTCTTGTTTTAATATAATTAGAAGAGGTTTAGATCGATAACAGCTCAAACATTTCTTTAAAATAACTAACAAATTTTAAGGAACCAAGTTGAAACACAATTTAAATTCTGAAACAAAATAAAGATTATTGAACACGAACCTTAGGTGTAAGTCGAGTAATTATCGATCTTTAACTCAATAAATAGGTAAATTTGAAAAAAATAAATAAATACTTTTTTATTAATTCCCGGGATCCATCCATTCATGCGACTAGTAAGATTCATCTACGAACGCAGTCCACTTAATTTGTTAGAACAACTTCCAGCGAGTCTCAACACCTATCCTTTTTTCTTTCTGATTGTTTTGGGAAAAGGGGATTTGCCTAAGTACGAACAACCTTTTTGCTTGAAAAAAAAAAGAAAAGAAAACAGTAATTTATTCAAATACTTAAACTTGCTTAAGGTAACTTTTACATCTATTACAAACATCTGATACCTGAAAGGAATAACTCGAAAACTGGGACATACATGAATATAAAGGACAATCTGCATTTGAAAATCTTGCAGTCTTATCTTCTTAGGATGTCCAAACCCGGATTGTTCCATCAACCGAAGCAGTGATCATACAGTTTTCCTTAGGGTGATAACTTACACTGGTTACCTGCGTAAAACAATAAAACGTTAAAAAGGACAAATACTAACAACATAACTCCAAACGCTAAGTTATTTATCTTATCTAGCCCCCGTCCCCTCCCAAAGACCCAAACACGAAAAAAAGTGAGGGCGAAAGAGGGAAAAATGCTAATGCCAAGCAAACTGACCCTAAAATACACCCATTTGCAACCAATAGTAGGCATTTCGCTAAAATAAGTCACAACCCGCACCCACAGTTTCATGCCCGAAGTGTTGACTAGTTTAACAGCTAGAAATTCGAATGAGAGACTAAACCCACAAACATACAGATGGCAGATCAGCTAAATAACTTGCGTGCTGGTACGTCATTAAACACATCAAGCAATAACAATGTAAAATTTTTATCCACTCTCGTGGTGATTACGATGAAAAAGTTCAAGAATGATTTTGAGGCAGGAATTCGGAGAATGAAGTGTTAATGAAGTAATTTTACCACAGAAACGTGGGCTCGAAAACTGGAGACAACAGATGCATCCACCAGATCCCAAAAGTAAATGAAGCCATCTTCTGAACCACCAGTCACATAGGCATCCGAGTTTGTTATGCAGCAGTCCATCTTAAAAGACTGATTCAATTAACAATGAAAAGAGAGTAAAAATCATCATCGAGATTACGAAAAATACTATATAAATCACGAGGAAATATATAAAGAAAAAGAAGTTGTGAAACAGGGCCAAGTCTTGATCATGCCATGTCGAAGAAACAAGGAGTAAATGAACAGTGGAAATCAACCATATTAAACACAGAAGATTGTAGTAACAAGAAGTATCCACACACTAACAATGTTAAGTGGTGAAAGACAGTCACAAGTTATCTGTCCAGGATTCTACACTAACCTTGCAAGTGTGGCCTTTGTATTCTTGCAATAGTTCACCACTAGACCTGTCAACACATAAGAATCCGTTTAAAACAATAGTAAAAGCAATACTAAATTCCGGAATAGAATTTTGTAGAAACATTTACCGATCCAGAAGTCGTAGTGTAGAATCTAGGCAACTGGCTAATATACAGTTAGCATCATTTGAAAGAGAGATACAGTTGACAGGTTGCCCCAAGTTGTCAGATATTTCTCTAATAAGAATCATCAAAAGGTAATTCGTTACATTGTTAGAGAGCAACCACAAATGAATTACCTATTTGAATCTCAAACTTTGCATTCTTGAGATGTAAAGGGATGATTATCATCATTGGTACTTACCTACCAATTCGAATGTCAAAAGTTCGAACAGTTCCATCAACACTTCCAGCAATTATCTCAGTGTTTGTTAAACAAACAGACATTACACTATCGGAAAAAGTGTCAATGATCTGCATAGTATTCAAAAATTCAGCAAAGCATTTAAAGGACCGAAAAAAGACTAAGAAAAGGTAAAGGCAAATAAGATACTACTAATCTGTGCATTTGGAGTTTCACAAGGGAAAAATAGCATTATGCAATTATGGGCCTGGACACATTAATTCTCGTTATTACCAGCCAAATTATATTTGACATTTGATCTAAACATCAATCCCTGTTAATATGTTGAACGCAAAGAATGATAGAAATAGTCCTCGATTCCTAGCCCGGGATGAGCTTCTTCTTTGGATTCTATATTGAGTAGTGATAAAAAATTCATTGTACACTAGAAATTTTTCACTTGAAAGTTTTATCCTGATGGCAGTAGCTGGAAGAAGAGTCAGCCAGCAAGAAAATGATCATTTAAATTCAAAAGCATCTTCTGAAATTCTTAAATTATGGTTGACAAAGCTTCAAGTTTTCTTCTGTTTTTCGTTCAATCCATTTTCCTTTTCTCCATGCTTTCTTTATTCATATACAGTATTTTAGGAGTGTTGGGGATTATATCTTGTAGAGGGTTCCAAGTTTATAAATGATGCAATGTTAATCTCCATATGGACTTTTATGTGCAATAGGCACATGACTGTATCCTAACACCACCCAATCTCAGTTGTAAAGCAAGAACCCTACATCAAACAATATTAGAATTTTCTTTCCTTCCTAAATAAACATTAAATCATCCAAATACAAATGAATTTTCATAGAGGCACAATCTACTTACACAACACTTTTAGAGCCTAAAAAAAAAATCCAAACGTATCTAGAAGAACTTGTATTCCATAATAGAACTTACGAACAGTCTCAGGTCTACTGCACGCGTTGGGGAACAATCCATATATAATCGTAATTCACGTATGATAACAAGATGAAATAAAAAATTTCATAATCATAATCCATATTGATTAAACTTGTTATCTAATCTTGTTATCATACGGGAATTACGATTATTTATAGATTTTTCAAAAATGGTGAATATTAGGACTTGAGGCTTTTTTTAAAGTTCTATTATGGAGTACAAGTTCTTCTAGACATCTTTGGACTTCGGACTTCTTTCAAGGTTCTGAAAGAGTTATGTGTAAGGTCTATTCTTCATATACCAATTTTTATTATTAGGAAGTATGAAAACTTTTCGCAAATGCAAAATTTTGTTCTAAAATTCGAAGGTTGAGCCGTATTAGCTCACCTGTTTAAACTTTGGAAATTAACACGTTCAACTTTGATGATACTTTAGTTCATGAGGCATTTAGAATTAATATTGTATGTGAAATGGATATTACATTTATATGGGCTAAACATACTTTGCAAACACCACCAAAACTGTAAAAGATGTCTATCCAAAAATCTGCACACCATAGTGCCTAATTCTTGACAGCTGATTTCCAACACTATCCTTATAATCCACAAACTTGTACTCACTCACTGAACTTCAGTATTCTAATGCTCCACAAAAGATTCAAAAATAATTAACAGTGCCTGATTTCTAAATAGCCGTCTTCAATGTCCTACTTTGAATGAACAAACATCCGTCCAGACTGGCCTGATTCTGAATTTTCAGCTACCAAAACTTGTCTAAATCAGGCATGGAAAGCCTGCCTGGTCTAAAATTAAATATTAAGATACAATTTATAGTAGAGTCCTACCCTACGCTCATCTTGTGTAGTGAAATGAAAGAGATTGACCTGAATAGGCTCAGTGCTATGAGATCTGCAGTCCCAAGCTCGCACTGAGCGATCATATCCTGCTGATACCACGACAGATGAATATTCATTAAACTTTACAGCATTTACCTAGTAAGAATGAAAAATGAAAGTGTTAAAAGACGAAAAACTAAAGGGAAATTTACTCGCAACACGTCAAAATTTTTATAAACTGGAATGATTGATGTTCCATAAGGAGGCAAAAGATAATTTGATTAAAGATGTTTAAAAAGAGTTTCATTTTCGAAATTCCCTCTTTTGAAAACATCCATAAAGATTGCATGCAAAATAGATGGAGGATCGTTTAAGAACTTCCATTATCTCATCTATGCACGAAATTTACACATCACCAGATGCAACCACCTTAAGGAATTTAGTAACTTTATTTAAGAACAAACACCAGATATAACCAGATAAAGTGCACGGTAGCATGAGAATCACAAACGGCAATATTACCCAATAACATTATCATTCCCATAACTCCTGCGGCTTTTGTAATTACATATCCACTAGTTACAAATTAATAATAAGGCACCCACATGAATGGTTTAGCACTACAATTAGAAATCTAGATCCCAGTCAAAGCCAAGAAAAGCACACGGTGGTAAATTATTGTACAGTATTAAGAGATGGACTTAAATACACACATCTCATCAGATAATGTTATTTAAAATCTTAAGAAAGATAGTAATGTAGCATGAGAGATTTTAGCATCACTCAACAGAGCAATGGCACCCAAGTCTACGCTACTCACAAGACAATTTCATATTTCATATTCTTTCAGAAAAAGTCAGCACGAAAAAAGTTCTACTATTTATATCTTCATTGATCCGCACTAGCAAATCAAAACAATATTCTGATCTCGTATCAAAATATAAGAGATTATTAGAATAAACTTCACATTAAATTTAAATTTCAGAATGTCCTCGTACAAAGAATAGATTATTGCCATAAAGTTCCCAATTTTGTCATATCTAAACATTCATTCTGCATCCCTCAATTACTTCAAAACCCTTAATTTCAAATGCAATCCAATCCAAATAATTTAAACACAACGAAAATACAAATAAACCAACCTCACTATCATGACCACGAAATTTACGAATAACACGACCAGTTGCCACATCCCAATAAAATACTTGTCTGTCACCCCCACACGAACACAGTTTCGAGTTATCCCTACAAAATGATCGCTTAAATTAATTAAACATCTAACAAACGTAATGCGAGCTTTATTACAGCAGATCAAGCCTTTAGATGAGACGCTTGACAGTAAATTGACTTACGGGGTGACATGGACGTCGCGGACTTCACGACCGTGAGATTTATAGGTCTTGATATGCAATCCACGGTGGGGATTCCAGAGCCGAATAGTGCGATCTTTGCCGCAGCTCAGGCAATACTCCCCATTCCGGTTAAACCTGGCAGCCATATGACGCGGAAGCACGGGGGCCTCAACGCTAGCCTCCTTCCTCGGCAGATCCTCTTTGCTCATCCTTTTGCTGTAGGTGGGAACGTTATTGTACGCCGGGCGCACCCATTTGCTGAACTGAACAAAAAATGGAGGATTGGACCGGAGTGGGCCGGAATGATTATATAAAGCCTAAGTTTGATTTAACTCGAATTCAGGCCATGCTGCTTGGAGCCCAATAAGAAAATTATTAAGAAATTTACACAAATAGCATGAAATCTGGCTAAAAACTAAATTTTAATCATTTTGTGGTTACTTTGAAGAGATTATCCACTAAAGATAGAAATTTTATACGAAAAATCCTCTTTACCATTTTTAAAAAAAAAAAAGATTGAGTCTTAACGTAATTTTATAATAGATTTAGAATTGTCGTCTGTATTTTAGGTGGACTGTCGAGTCCAACTGTATTTCATATTTATATTTGCAAAGAATGAAAGAATAGAGGTAACTGGACGAAGTTGACATCATTTTGAATTCAGGAAGCAAGACTGCTATTATAGGCGACCCCTAAGTTTTCTGGGCTCTAGAAGATCAAGTCATATTTGACCTATGAATATTTTTAAATTAAAAAGTAGTTCTAATTTTTTTAAAATGAATATTAATACATGCCCACTCATGTCGCGACGCACGGGCCTTTATAGTTGAGCTCAGTACAACTAGGACATATAAACGTGATAGTCTAAACTTTTTGACGCTCGATTCTTTAAATTAAATTGAAAGTTTAATTAAGTAGTGACATTTCGGATTCCCATTCCTATTTGTTACCTTTACATCAGTCATACAATAACACTCCATNAAAAATTTCATTTAAAATATAGAATTCTAAAAAAAAAAAATTTTTTTTTTTTAAACGGGGCGGGGCGGGGACCCCGTTACCCGTCCTCGCCCCGAACCAGCCCCTGGGCAAAATTTGCCGCCACGTCCCCGCCCCGTTACTCATTTAAGCGGGTTTTTCCCGCCCCGAACGCTGATATCGGGTTTGTCGGATTTTTTGCCATCCCTATTCTCAAGGGGATATTACTTTTGCTAACACTTACCACTTGTATCATGGCACCTTCTGTGTCCTCGGCTAGACAAATTATGCCACTGATTCCTGGATCGCAATTGTTGGCCTGCCATGTTGACTACCCTTGGATTCACTCCAGACGAAACATACGTTTTACGAGGATATTGTGATGCCTCGGGTTCTAGTTCGGAAAAAATCGAGCTTGTCCTGAGTCCGTTAGTCTAGCCTTTATCAGCTGGATCAATTTGTGTAACTTTTCACAACATTTCTCTAGGGTTTTTGGTCATCGACTGTTTGTTGTACGTGTCACTTGAGTGAGTATATGGTTGTTAAGGTTTGATATCCTCCAATGACAGTTCTATTTATACCCTCGTTTGGTCCTCATTATTTTCAAAATATATTTTTCTCTTTCTTATTTTTAATCACATATTTTTCAATAAAATAATATTACACGCAAATTCAAAATATTTTCTTATTTTTTAACTATACATTCTCCATCAAAATATTATTAGAAAAAAAAAACGTATATATATACACATGTGACGGTAGAGATGAACACAAAAATCGTCGAATTGAATTTTAAAATCATTAGTTTAAATTAACGTCAACCCACCAACATATTGAAAACTATAAACAAAAGATCAATGAGATACAAATGACAATAAAAATGCCAATTACTCAAGATTCTTATGTCTTGGAATCTTTCTTTATTTAATTAATGACAATTGTCTAACATTCATTCCTATTCCTATATTTATGCACAATCTCACCTTCCTTGGATGATCCTAACAGAGAATTGTTCAAATAATATGCATTTTATTTGAATTTTTCCTCTAGATTATCCTTTACGATATGTTTGATACGTTGTATTCAACATCATAATGCGATACGAAAGTGGAATAAATTTTTTTAAAAAATATTACCAAGTTATGAATCACATGGATTGATAAATATGTAAAACTCGTGGATCCCTTAAATGTGTACATATAAAGTGATTTTAATATGAAACAAACATATGAGACGTAATTAATAATTGGGTGAAATTCATAGTTTTTAGCTTTGTCTTAAGCTTAATTATCGAGAATCAATTAATATTAAAACGATGTATCTAGAATGAGAACAAGGTATTGTCTTGTTTCGTGCGAAACATCCATTTTGAATTAATATGAAAGAGACTCATCTTAAACATATTTATTCTGATTCATACGGAGTAATGGACACAAGTACAAACACATATCACGCGCGCGCACACACACACATATGGTAATGTTAGCCTATCACGTTTTTTTTAGAATTTTGATGCTCTTCCAACGCGATTCCATACAATACGAATCGTTATTTTGAGCATAAACACCACATTTAAATGTGTGAGAAGTCCCTCCACGGCCTCGTGCTTTTAGTTTAAGAAAACCATCAATATATACCCTGACTTTGTTAGCATCAACATCATGGATAACATTTAGCTGGAACCACCGGTTATAGATGCGTGGAACTAGGACGGATTCTTGATAATACATTAGCGAACCATTGTAGACTCTGATCATTGCGGTGGTCGCATGAGGAGGATCTGCCCCGAACACTTGCATGATGCATACGCCAGACGTCCCATATGGCACGTAGGCATGCCCTTCGAATTGCCAAACTCCCGATGAATAATTGTATCCCTAAAGATAAAATTCATGTTGAGAAATCGAAAAGTTTACACAATATATGAACATATTTTGTTTCAAATAGAAGAACATCCAAATTTTTGATATGCTTATCATGCTTGTGAGCAATGGACATCATTGCTTTATAAGCATTTTATCTAAAAGTTAAGCTTTTACAAAGGGGAATTTTTTTTATTTAATTAAAATTTATTTTTTAACACATCCTCTCATGTGCACACGAGAATTTCTTTCCTATACAAATACAGTTTTTACAAACGAGCTCTAATACCATATTAGAGCTAAAAGCTTGGCTCCCTTTAAATTCCATTAAAATTCATTATTTGCCAAATATTTCAACCACATGCAAGCCCCATGAGTTCATTCCAACTGAAATTGTAGGTGACGTGTGGAATTGGTGGTCAATAATAATCAATGAAATTTTTTACATTAGAGGACTAAAAGACCATAATAACCCCGTACAAACATTAGGTGCCAAGATGGGGCTATGCATTGGGGGTAATTTTATAATTTGTTAGGAAAAGTGGAGGGTGGTAATGTTCTTACTTTGTCCAACGGTCCCTTGGATATTGATATCATCTACCAAGTGATTAGATAGGGTATAGACATGGGCCCCATTATTGTCAAAAAAGTTGGATTGAAAACTGGTTAAAACATAAATTAAAGAGAGATGAAGGGGGCCAAACGGGGACTAAACCAATTAATCTAAAAACTTAAACTGTTAGAAAGAAAAAATCTTCTTTATTTAAATTTTGCCTACAACAACTACCGATACCAACGATAATAATTTGTTATTGTTGGCATCTTTTCTAGTAGCGCCGTCTACTTTTTCAGACTTCTCAACTTTCGTCCCGATATTATACATCATGAATAGGATTCAAACAAGGGTTTGCCATCACTTACTTGAATGCCAATCTCAGTTCGAGGTTTTGTTTGGCTTGTAAGAGTGTGTGGTTTGTCTGTGGCAAAAACCCATAACTTGTGAACTCCATTTTTGAAGCTGTATCTCCGATTTTCAGGCACATCATATGGTTTCTGAATGTGATAATATGATCTGTTGAATGGTAAAGATATGAAGCCTTTTGTGGGATCCAATGGCCCCCAACTACTAGCTTGGTGCACCAGAAGTAGCAGAATACAGCTACTGTAAAAGTAACTTAATAAGAACAGAGAATTCATTATTTATGAGTAATCTGCTGAGAAAAACGGTGAAGTATTTGTTGAATAGAATGGAAGATGGTTGTGGGATTTATAAGATGTGATGGGGAGTCCATAAAAGTGGAGGTGAAAAGTTTAAACGGTCAAAAATGATATACATATGAAAAACACCAGACGTCACCCAACTAATTTGAGCGAAATTTCATTTTATTCAAACTTATTTATTTATTCACAATTTGCAATCTCATTTCAACAAATGTGGCCCCTTAAGTTTGAATATCATGAAAACAGTCTACACGATATCATACAGAATATTTCCTCATGTAAAGAAAAAATTCTTACAGAAAAAATACATACAGAGACTCACATAGGTAAAATATTGAAAATAAAAACCACCCACCTCCCTGTTGTGTCTATGCATTTCTGTGGCTGCATTTTCTGTACGTGTAGTGCAGTTCATACACATTTGACTTATTTCCATTGATAAACAGTACATTATGCACAATGTTCCTCTTTTGCCGTTGAATGAGGGAGAATTCTAGGGTAATGGGTTGAAAATAATTGGGTAATTTTAATTGACCAAAACGGGGTATTTTTGTCATTCACTTCTCAACGGACATTTTACCTTTCCTGTTCATCTGACAAATGTATTGACAGATTTCAAATTTTCAATTTATCGTCACTATACTAAAATGTATTTTGGTCAAATAATCTCATTTTAACGAGAATCAAAGAGATGCTCAAGTTATCGGCATTGTAGTTTCAATTTCATTTTAGTATGATCACCAACAATGATTTCATTAAAAGATTTAATATATTATATTTTGAACATCAAGACGGACCTCCACAGCAAGAGAAGCTTTAGTATGACGGTCCTCCATGTACATATAATATGACCATCCATTTGTATCACAATATCTCGAACCTTGAGTAATTCAAAATGTGACATCTCAAGATCCACTATTCACTTCTCTTACCACCTAGGACACCAATGTGTTGTGTTTTGAATAGCTCGAGTTCCGAGGGATCATGATTTAATTGGATGACCGCACCACGTGTTTATATTGGATAGTCCCATTGGAGTTTTTTTTTCCTCAATAGCACCCACTTGGTTCCCCCCCCCCCCCCCCCCCCTCTCATGCACTAGGGGTAGCAGCTGCCTTGGTGTTCTTCTTTGTAGCACGAGAACTCGACCATATCTTCACCAACTTAGACTCGAGTTCGTAGCATAGTTTGCTGCATTGGTTGGAGAACGACAACATGAAATTGTAAACACGACTTTTGCATATTCAAAAACTCTAAAACATGATTATTGAACTAAAGAAATTTTATTTACCGTCCAAATAATTTTTTTTCTTAATTTATTTAGCTCTATTCCTTGATCTTGGGGAGATACTTCTTTCTTATAGACTTGATTGTCACGTTGATCGACACATGGCGATATTTCATTAAAATTTATTATCATAATTAATAAGTGGTAGAATATATTAATGTATACTACGTCATACGTAAAGATTACTTGCAATGGCCGGCTTACAGCCCCATTTAATAAAATAAAAGTAAATTTAAAAAACAATAAAAAAGAAATCTTTAAACGTAAGGCAATGAGGTGATCGATCTTCAATGAAATATTCTTTGCAACGATGAACCTGACTCGGGTTGTCGTTCTTGAATTCTAGTTGTGAATTAAAATCTTAATAAAAATTTAAGTCAAAATCAACAATTAATTTTAGCAATACATTTATGAGATCCAAAATTTTTGAATAATATATTTCATAAACTTTTACTAAAATATACTAAAAATTGATTTTTAACTATACCAAATAGGGGCCTAGTATCAGACATGAAAGTTATCATTTCAACGTGATTAAGCAGTCCAAGTATCATTGTAGAAGCATATTTTCATTAACTTAATGTTGTTATATTGGAAAAAATGATAAATGGTTTCCCGTAATTAAAAATGACAATGAGCTGAGGCAAGCTAGCTTGGCCTTTGACCACTCAAGCATGGTTCATATTGTTGGACGAGTCGGGCTTGACCTATTAGTCAATGAGTCGAGCATGGGCTAGCTCGTTGACCAAGAGGCCAGCCCCTGGTCGATGAATGGGCCCTACCCTGTGTAGTATGAAGATAGCCCACTAGCCCTTCGTCAAGTCTATGGACTGGCCAAGATCCCAGAACTTTGGGCTTAGTTCGACTCACCACGCAGAAAATCGAGCTCAACTTAATTCTAGACTCTTTTTTTTTTTAATGATTCAAGTGTCCGAACTTCGTCCAATTAGTCCTGAGGAGTGTCGGCCTTTTCCTCTGATTCGCCACTCGGATAAATCCGGATGCAGTCATAGCTTATACACACTTGGACATGACATATGCCTTCCAACATAAATATAGCCTTCCCACTGCTCAGGGATTCGAACATGCGAAGGGAAATTCCACTCTTTTTGATATGGGTTTAAGCTGTTTATGGATGGAGCTTGAATGAGTCGATAATAGTCTCCTCTACTTGAAACCCAAAAACAATGGTAGATAATTTTTTATTTTATTTTTTACCCCCTCAAAACATGTCACCTAACCACACCTTAAAAAAGTGCAATTGAGTTTGAAAGGCATTTAATTCTCTCAAAATTAGATATATGAATTGAAATTAAATGTGATGGCACCAAGTGTTGTCCATTTAACATCAAGCTATAGTTTCTATTTAATTTTGGTCAAGGCCTTATTTATAAAATGGAGATGCAAGCCGGCCATTTCAATTAATTCCCTCGACAGAATATTTAGGTGGAATTGTGATAGTTAATTCATATATAGTATTTTAAAAATCCTTGGTCCAAGTTCTAACCTTTTTGGTTTTTCTAATACAAAACCCTAAACGATGTTTTAATCGATTTACATTTCTTTTAGATACCCAAAACCATGTATCCTTTAATCGAATGATGATGTGATATAAACGATTGAAAAATCTATCATCGATGCCCTACAATCTAACGTTGAATGTCATCGGTATAAATTTAGTGGCAGAACCAAAATTTTGAGGGATGAAAGAAAAACATTAAAGGAACAAAACAGTTTTAATATGATTAGTGGTTGCGTTTTAGAGACAGAAAGTCAAGTGTGTGCATAGACAATAGACAAACAAAAACAATCATCCAATTTTAGTATTATACAATATATATTAGGTAGCACAGATACAAGTAGATGGTGTCTTGAATTCTTATGTCTATATTAATGCAAGTGTTTTTAAGTCGCACTGCTCGTTAGTGCGTACTCAATTTTGTCTTTCACTCCAGAGCATTTGGGTATGTCTAGTAAGGTCCTTGCATGTGTGGTAAAGAAGATTAAAAATGACGGAACGATATTAAGAATTAAAAATATTATTGGTTATATTGTACGTGGATCAATTACGAGAGAAAATTCTAAATCGATTCGAAAAGAGAAGAAAGAAGAATGACATTCGAAAATGTGCATAACTTTCAGCTCGGATGTCGAATTTTCGTCCATAAGAACAATTCGAAAGAGTTTTTCGATTCTGCACAATTTTGTCGAAGTGACGATCATGACCTTCGACCAACCTTGTCAAATTTTCGAGGTCAAATTCCATTGTTTAGGGGTCCGTTTTATCATTTTTCTATTTTTAGTTAATTTAAATGTATTTTCGTCTTTTGCTGTTTTTTTGGTTTTATTAGATTTATCTATAGAGTTAAGATCTCAATATGACTATAATTTATTTTGAGTATATAAATACATGTTAAGGTTGGAAAAAACGCATTCGTTTTTTATTAATATGATATTTTTACTTCCATTCGAATGAAATTCGAGTAAACATTTGTTTGTGTGTTACGAACAAAAACTTTTTATTGTTGCTCACATTTTCGTCAGGTGGTATCAGAGCAATGTCCGATATTCAGAGTAAGGCTTTTTTAGGCGAGATTTGAGGCGATTGAGACTAAGCTACAAGAATTAGGAGATCATATACAAGAATTAGACAATGGACAAACAAAAACAAACAACCAAATTTAGTATAACAGAATATATACCATAGACAATAATACAAGTGTTTGTAAGTTGGGCTGCTCATTAGTGCATATTCAGCTTCGTCTTTCACTCCAGAGCATTTGGGTATGTCTAATAAGGTATTTGCATGCTTTGTATAGAAGACTGAAACTGACGAAACGATATTAAAAATTTAAAATAAATTAAAAATATTATTTGTTATATTGTACGTGCACTCGATTGGGCTAAGGGCCCAGGCCCTATAAATCCTCTAGCATTAGTGATGCAGATCAATTAAAAGAGAAAAATCTAAATCGATTAGAAAAGAGAAGAAATAAGAACGGCCTACGGAAATGTGAATAATTTTCAGTTTGGGTGTCGAGTTCTCGTCCATGAGTACAATTCAAAAGCTTTTTTTGATTCTGCACAATTTTGTCGAAGTGACCATCATGACCTTTGACCAACATTGTCAAACTTTTGGGGATCAAATTCCATCATTTAGAGGTCCATTTTAGTATTTTTCTATTTTTAGTTAATTTAAGGATATTTTTGTTTTTTGTAGTTTTTTATTTTTATTAGATTTATCTACAGAACTAAGATCTCAGTATGATTATGATTTATTTTGAGTTTATAAATACATTCTAAGGTTGTGTAAACATCACATTCGTTTTTTGATTAATATGACATTTCAAATTTTCTTGTTAATTAGTGGATTCCATTATTTCTCTCGTTCATTCGAACGAAATTCGAGCAAACATCAGTTCGTGTGTTACAAACAAGAGCTTTTTATTGTCGCTCACATTTTCGGCATGTGTCATGTGATGTCAGACCAATGTTAGACGATCACATTAAGGCTTTTTGAGGCAACGTTTCACGTGATTGAGACTAATCTACAAGAATTAGGCAATCATCTACAAGAATTAGACAATTGACAAACAAAAACGAACATCCAATTTTAGTATAATAATGCAAGAGTTCGTAAGTCGGGTTGCTCGTTCGTGTATATTCAGCTTTGTCTTTCACTCCAGAG